GGGGGCGGGGGTGGCCCCGGGCTCCTTCCAGCAGCAGCTCCCGCTCGGCTGGGAGCGGGCGAGCGAGGGTAAAGTTAAAGAGAGGAGAGGAGCACGTAAACAGCGCAAGGTACGCAGGGCGAGAAGGAATGTCGTCATGCCCATGCGCCTAGCGCGCTCCTGGGTGCCTGGCTCTCGATTTCGTTGGTGTTTTGTCATTTTCAGTGAAGTTCCTTAAAGGCACCAAAAGGTGCGCTGAGGAAGGCCATCGTCTGCTCCCTGTGTAAGACTGCAGGTCAGTAAATACAGCTTTGGCTGGGGCTCTGCCACTGGCTGGGGCTTTGACCTTGGGCAAATCGTGGTGCCTCAGTTTCCCCCTCTTTTGAAAGAAAAGAGCCACATGAGAGCTAGCGGTTGTCGTGTTATCTCAGGGCCCCGGGTGCATCCTCCTTCTGCATTGCTGAAAGATCAGAGTAATATGATGAAATGTAAAGGTGGCATATCTCGGAGGGTATTGATGAAGGCACAGCATCGCACAGTGCTTTTCCTCTCTGTGCTTTATGAGCTGCAGATGACCAAGTCCTTTCCATTTTTATTGGTGGAGAAGCTCAGATACAAAACCAGGGGCTTGAAGTGGCTTGTGCGGTGTTACATGGCATCAGTGCTGAGCAAAAAATGAAGACCTGGGAATCCTGGTGCTCTGAGGCTGAATTGTCTCAGCTGCTCCGAGGCTGGTAGTAAATCCTGAGAGTTTCTAGAACCTCAGAAGAATTCCCACAAACTTTAAGCGAGCAGTCCCCTCAATAAAGTGTCTGTCTGCGGCGGTTCTGAGTCACTAGTTGCTCAGTACTCCAGCTTTCCAGGCAGTGTACCAAAAAGGAGCGTAAGAGAGGCTGCTGCTTGATCCGAACAGTGCGCTAATTTAAATGAATTTCTGCTAGACCTGACATCACAAATCTGTCTCATTCCACCTCAAATCGACATGCCATGCTCGTTATGGATTCAGTGTTCTTATCAGGAGGCACTGAAATATTTATAACAAGAAGAGGTGGATGAGAGCAGTTATTAATGGAGGCTGAAATAGAGCTGGGCTTTATTCCTAGGTACCGCTCCTCCTAGGGGGAAAG